AATTTCCAGTCTGAATTGACCTTGAATTTACAGTCTCTTCGATCTTTTTAAATTGAATCAACCGCTCATTAACGCCAGTGACAAAGACATAACAATCCACCTAATACATGAGAAGATTTTCCAGCGTTTATATGCAGTAGTACTTACACGATGATAACTTTGTGGCTGTGTCTTGTGCCTTAACAAATAATAAAAATCAAAGGAAACTCAACTGTATACGCATTTAAGATTCATCGAATATTCATGTACAGTACATATGATATTTGTGCATAATGGTTATTTATAATTTATTTGAAAAGACGGTGAGATATAAACAAAATTATTATTATTGAAGACTAATTTTGTTAATAAAAAGATATTTTTATTAGCATTTTTCAATTTGTTTATTTTTCAAAATGCACAACTTTGTGGATGATATTGTGGTAGNCATATGAAAAGGTCCCACTCTACATTATTTACAAAAACTTTTTTCATTTCAAAAGAAAGCTTGAAATACTCATTTTTTTTTCTCTGTCCTTTTCTAAATTAAAAGATAATAAATTTCAACTGACGTATCATCTTATTTTTTCGAGATTTAAAATATAATTACTATTACAAACATTTTATTAAACAATTGATTGCAATTAGTTTATTTATTCTATTTAAGCATATTACTCCATCTAATTTAATACAATTTAAACAAAATATGGATAAAAATTACTTGTAGAATAAATATCTTAAAAAAAATTCTTCAGCTTTTATTAATTAAGAAGTGTATTATAAATTATAATGTAATTATCTTATTTCTGTTAATTATCTTCTTATCAAATTAATTTAATTCATTGCGTTTAATAATTGAATTTGTCAAATGTTGAAATATTTGTCTTATAATTAACTACTTATCAATTATATATTCAATGGAAATTAGTTCTAATATATTTTTTAAAATTTTATAATCATACATAATTATTTAATTCATATTGTTATAATTTAAAATAAATAAACAGGATTTTAGAATTGTTTCAAGTTAAAATAAATATTTAATTTTTATTATTTTTTAATACAGTAGCCCCTCGTTATATCGGGAGACAAAGAAAAAACGCGATATATCCGAGTACAGAACTAAAAACTCTGGGCTTTTACTAAACAGATTATACATGCTATGGAATCTGTATCCTCTATTCTTTCATTAGCAAGTGTTTCTGATATGAAATAAGCTTAGTTTCGCAATACTGAAACTTATCCATGGTTATATAGTATTAAACGACGTTTACGTAAACATCGATACAACCAACGCCCATTTGGCATTATTGTTTCTTTAACAATGACATTTAAAGAAAAGTACTGTCGATATAAAAACGAAATATCAGTTACGATCTTATTAATATATTTCCTATTAAATCGCTTATTAAAAATTTGTGTAATTGTATATTTTTCAGTAAAAATTATAAATACAGTAATTAAAAGTTTAAAAAGTAAATATTGAACATATAATATTAAAACTTATATGATTACAAAATAAAAATTCTCTAAAAAGCAAAATAAACTTATTTCTGTATAAAAATTCTAGAACTTTCCGTTCAGAAATAAATTATCTTTATCTTACACATATGCAGTGAATTCGAAAATTCATAAAAACTTGTAAATGAGGATACAATACTTAAAACTAATAAATAAACAACTTTTATCATCAAAAGGAAACCTAAGTGATAATTGACCTGTCCATCTGTTTGCTTATTTATATCTTAACGAATTTATTGTTTCACCTACAGTGGTAATTTCAAAGACAATGGTAGGAATAAAATACGGTATTTCGTTGTAAAGGAAATTCAAGGTAATTTAAAATTTATTGACTCAAGTACTTTTAAAATTTGGGGACAAAAAATAAATAAAAAAATCGAGATATAATGACGGTCTACTGTATTTANGAATATTCATGTACAGTACATATGATATTTGTGCATAATGGTTATTTATAATTTATTTGAGAAGACGGTGAGATATAAACAAAATTATTATTATTGAAGACTAATTTTGTTAATAAAAAGATATTTTTATTAGCATTTTTCAATTTGTTTATTTTTCAAAATGCACAACTTTGTGGATGATATTGTGGTAGAAGCATATGAAGCGATAAACATTTCTGTAGTGTGCGCATTAAATAAATGCAGCAGTTTTTCCAATAGCAAGCAGATTTACATATCTCACTGGAAAAACAAACTTTATTAACATTCGGTTGACTTTATTTGCCAGATCAAGTAAATATACAGAATACGTTTTGTTTTTAAGTAAATATAAAAGACAAAATAAAATAAATTTAAAAATACCAGGAATAAAGTGAAAATTATAGTTTAAGAAAAATCCTTTCATACCTTCAAAATTTCAATCTCCAATCTACTATGAAATTAGCACATCCCCATAGAATCAATAGCCGCTTTACAAATGTTAAAAATGCTGAAGATTTTGTGTTTGTGCAATATTCAACCTCACTTTTCTTGTTTAATTCTGATAGTGCGCTTTACTCATGGCGTCTGTCAGTTGTTGGGGATGCACTACATCCTCATCCGAGTTTTATCAAAATCAATAACCCCAACATCTTTCCGTCCCTATTTTAGTGTTTCTTAAACATCGAATGAAGATAAAATTGTGTGGTGTCAACTGTAACGAGATGTTATTAAAAATAACTTTATATTATTAATTATTATAAACAGGAAAAAAGGCTTAATTTTGAAGATGGACGTGGATTTCTAAACATATTGTAAATATCAATAACAAATAAATATGCATTATGTTCTATGGCACTTTACATACGACACACCATCTTCTCTATCTCCCGTCCTCTCGATCTTTAACCACCAAAATTTAATAGTACTAATGGCCCTTACATACAACTGAGCATGCCAAAATTAGTTTCTTAATCTTTATCCTATCATAATATTAAACTAAATATACACCCAAACCCCGGGTATCAATATTTTCACTTTTTTGGGTTTAGAGACCTTAAAATTTCGAGATTCCAAAAACTCGGAGAGTCAAATGTGACACGATTATAATATTTTGTTTTGAAAGCTAAGAAAGTAAAATTTTCAGACGATTATAAATAATACATTCCGTGTCATGTTTTAACAGCCGGAAAAATAAATGTGCATTAATTTTATGCATGCTTTTAAACATTGTACTTTTCTTGCTACAAACTGTAAAATATGTATAGTTTTAGTTTAATAAATACATTTTCTAGACCTCAAGACAAAATATTGAATTTTCTGATATTTATAATTATTCGCTTATATAATTTTTGGTACTCTTATATTGATAACGTTAAGCGTAGTAAGTAAATTAGACTACGACTAATAAAAATTGTTATTATGTTAAATCTGACATAAAAAGACACGTTAAAACAATTTTAAAATGTACAGTACATATATTGAATATTTGTTAATTAAAGTTATTACTAACTTATATATTTTAACACATAATATTTTTAATAACATAAAACGACTGATAACAACACCTTTGATTATAAATAGTGTTTACTGTTTTAAAACTTAAACATTTATTATAGATAAAATTATTAAAATAAAATCAATAGTATATTTTGAAAAATATATAATATATAAAAATAATATAAAAGTTTTTAATTTTTATATCTTCAAATTCCTAACATTCAAAATTTACTTTAAAGTAAATTGATTAATTGAGTGATTAATTGTTTTTCTTTTTTTCAATTTATAATTAAATGAATTTTCTGAATTAAATCAACCAGATACTTTCAAAATTTAGAATTTTTTCTGTTACTTATCTTTCTTAACTACTTTATTCTAATTAATCAAGTCTATTAAACTTTCTATTTTTCATTAATTTTCAAATAATCTCTTCAAAACTTTCAAATTAAATAACAAAAAGACACTTTGTTTTTGTACTTTTGTTAAAATCTAGCCTAAGAGAAACTTCATGTTAAATTTTTTTAATTGTCACAAAGAATATATCCGAAGTGATGACATATTTGAATTATAATAAGAGAAAACTCATTGGCTTCGAGCAAAATTTTGTTGATATTCTTTTTTTTTAAGTTTAACATCAGTAAAATTTCAGTAACGGCATTTAATAATGGCACTATTTCAGAATTAAATATAATAAAATAATTACACTGAATTAAGATTATAAAATTTCTTTTATTTGAATCTAATTAAGTTAAAGCTTTAAAAGAAAAATTTTTCTATTACATTAAAGTATGTTTTTGAATTATTAAAAATTAATTATACAGCCAATTGCGTTTTCGTTTCAACGCAGTTTATTAATTGTAGAAAATTGTATTTCGCGCCGATGTTTCGATATAACGCGGTTTAGAAGACAATCACTAGTAGAAGTTCATGGAAAATACTCTAACTCTACTCGAGCACTATAATTTCCAGTCTGAATTGACCTTGAATTTACAGTCTCTTCGATCTTTTTAAATTGAATCAACCGCTCATTAACGCCAGTGACAAAGACATAACAATCCACCTAATACATGAGAAGATTTTCCAGCGTTTATATGCAGTAGTACTTACACGATGATAACTTTGTGGCTGTGTCTTGTGCCTTTAACAAATAATAAAAATCAAAGGAAACTCAACTGTATACGCATTTAAGATTCATTTACAACTCCTCTTCTGCAAAGTTCGATGTTCAGAAACGCTTTCAAAATTATTACATATTCAGTCCACTCCTCTATAACACTGTTGATTATTCCGTTTTATATGATTTCCATGTTGTACGAGTCACTTAGATTTTACAAATACGTGAGGCGTTCACAGCCCGGCACACGTATTTGTAAAATCTAAGTGATTCGTACAACATGGAATTCATATAAAACGGAATAAACAACAGTGTTATAGGGGGTCGACTGTACAAACCTCCTCCATACCATATACAACCAGATTTTTGTCCCAATCGTCACGTACGCTTGCGGCAGCTGGGGGTGGGCTGTCCGCAAGGTGCACATCAAGCGCAAACTTATTGCTGCACAAAGAACTGCCTTAATGCATATTACCAAAGCTTACTCCACAACACCAAACCCTTCTCTTCAAATCCTTGCGAGGAAGGCACCTATTGACAGTTACATCCGACTACAAGAAAAAATCTGGCAGTTAAAGTGGGGCAATACCATCCATGTTAATAATCAACAAATACATCGTCAAGAGTTAGAACGACCAGTCCAATTCGCTGATATTAAACACCCTGCTTCTCTTAAGAAACTAAACTTCTCGCGACCTGATGATGCTGATATTCAAATCTTTACAGATGGATCTAAGACTAATTCTAATGTGGGCAGTAGCTATGTGGTCTACCGGGACAATGTGGAGACTGCCTCAGGGCAGTTCAAGCTTGGTGCCGGCTGCACAGCCTTTCAGGCTGAAATGTATGCAATCAAAATGGCCATTGCCTGGTCTGACTCAAATTATACCAATACTAAAGTGTCCATCATCTCAGACAGTCAATCCTCTATAGCCTTGCTCAATAGTCAAGCTTCTCACCCTATCTCAGCTAGTATCCACGACATCATTAACAATTCCAATAATATCTATCACGTCAGCTGGACTCGTGCCCATCAGGGCACACTTGGTAATGAGAGGGCCGACATACTTGCAAAGACTGCCAGTGAAGACGACAATCTCCGGATCTGCTATAATAGCCCTACCATTAAAACTATCAAGAATATGCTTTGGAAAGACCTACTTCAGCAGTGGCAACATGATTGGAACACGCTTAACCATCCAATTACTCACAAATTTATTCCCAATATTGAACTATTTCTCTCAAACAATTGGTACAAACCATGTCATCGTATGTCTCAATTTTTAACAAATCATGGCAGGTTCCAGTCTTACCTGGCCAGATTTATCGGAGCTGCAAACTCTGATTGTCCTCTTTGTGGTGTGGACGACAGCTCGGATCATTATATCTTCAACTGTCCTATGTTGGATCACGAAAGGCACTTTCTGAGGTCCTCTATGGAGGCGCACGGATACCGCTGGCCCAATGAATCCCACGGTATCCTGGACAATAAAGACGCCTATGAGGCCCTCACAAGGCTCATCAGTGCATACTTTTATCGCACCACCGTTCCTGGATACAAATAACCTTTCTCATTATCTCATTAACGGTGTTGTATTGTCTTATTTTTATTGCTACAGGTACTATTACTTTGTAACACACTGTTTTCTTTTTTTTTTATAATTTCTTAACGTATTATATGTTTTGCTTACTGAATTTTATATTATTGTTTATGTATTTTAATTTTCTCAAATAAGTTATTGTAAATTTAGTTAATTGCTATTGTATCATGTTTCTACTGAAATATTGTGTTATACTTTGTCTGCATTATTATTCTATAATGTATTGTATTTTGTTATTTACATTCTGTATTTTGTGATTCTCTGCTGTATAATATTTCAATGCATATGTTTTCTGTATCACACAACTTGTTATTTTATCCCCATCTTTTGTATATACTACACATGTAATGTTACTGTAGCCTCTAATGTTAATGATCTGTAATAATGCCAATATGTTCTTGTCTGCACCTGGTTATATGTATATGGCACCAGGTATGTACTGTAACTCAGTATTTTATTAATAAAATGAATCTGAATCTGAATCTG